TGGCTCGGCGAATTAATTTAAATTTGGGTCCGAAGTTTTTAACGAAGCAATTAAGAAAACATCGTTTGCATGCGATCGAATAAATCAGGTCCGTGCCGAAAATCGCACTTTATTAATTAGAAATTGTTTATTTTTTCGCGCCCAGCGAAGATATTTTTTTCGCAAGTCTCTTTGTCTTTCGTCGTGTTGTTTTAAAAGAGCCTCAGATATTACCGCCAAACGCACGAAGGTGCACCAAAAATGCAATATAAAACGCTATAAGAACTAATAATAATAATAATATACATTTATAATTAAAAAAAAAAACAAATGAAAAAGACGTACACCGTGCGCCAAATAAAACAATAAGCTTGGTCATACAGGGTGTCCCAAATTGCCCCCCCCCCCCCGGCACCGGCAGAAACTTTGTTATATTAAACGGAACACAATGTATATTTCCACATTTTTTGAATCATTAGTTGAAATAAAGGTCACTTTCTTAAGAAATTCTTATTCGTATTTTGCATAGTTTAGGCAGAAATTGAGGTTATGTGTTTTTTTTCATGTAAAATTGTGTTGTCACGCTATCGATCCACGAATTGCAACGAAAATTAACCACAGGCTAACAATCAGTTTGACAAATGCGCTTCAGCTTATACAGGGTGTCCCTCGTTTTGGCGAATTCAATTAACAAAATCTCAAGGTTTTCAAATGGAAAATCCTATATTTTTAATCAGAGTCTAGGATAAAAAATAAGGTAAGTTTGTAATTTATCTTATACTTAAATTTTTCTTACTTGTTGAGGTATTCGAGGTTTCAGATAACACCCGTATAAATTTTTGTTGAATTTAAAGCTTCACTTGGTCACTTGTTGGCAATATTAGGTATTTTTTAAATAGCAATGACATGATTCTACTTTTTTTTAAAGATATAATACTCCAGATATACGAGTAAAACCTAACAATACAGATTTAATAAAACAGAATTCAACTTTAAAGAAACATTTAATGGTTAATTATCTAGCTTTATTGAAAATACCAAATAACAAAAATAAGTATTCAAAGTTTATAGCCTAACTAACCAAGGTAACAATAAATCTATAAAAAAGTTAACTAAGTTAACTAAAGTTAATTTGGTGCATAAAGTTTAGTTAAAAAAATCCTCGTTTCATCCGGCATCAAAACAACAACAGAAATATCAAAATATTTAAAAATGTAGTTGCCTATGACATCACAATCTTTTTCTTTAGGCACTAAGGTATAAAATTTAACATTTTTGATTGTTTTTATTGCTTTTCATATTTCTATTTAAAAAGTTCATAGTTGTGAAGTTTTTTGTTAGTACATATTTTATTTGTATTTTAAATAAGTTATAGTTTTGTAGGTAACCTATAAACTTTAATTATTTATTTTTGTTATTAGGTATTTTCAATCAAGCTAGATAATTAACTATTAACTGTTTCTTTAAGTATGAATTCTGAAGTTTTATTAAATCTTTTAAAGTGTTTAGTACAGAGTTGATTTTGTTTTAAATTGCCACGTATTAATGGACACCCTGTATTGTTAGCAATAGGTTTTATTTGTATTCGTTTTATTTATAATAAGTAGTATCATGTCTTGGCTATTTTAAGAATACCAATATTTCCAACAAGTGGCCTAATGTGGGCAGCTTTATATTTAACAAGAATTAATGCAGATGTTACCTTAAACCTCGAATATCTTAAAAAGTAAGTAAAATTTAAATATAAGATAAATTACAGACCTAATTGTGTTCGATTTGAAAATCTAGAGAATTTGTTAATTGAATTCACCAAAACGGCACTATCTATTTGAGACGCCCTGTATAAGCTGAGGCGTATCTGTCAAACTGAGTGAGTAGTGCATCATCTCCTTAGTCTGTGGTTAAATTTTTGTTGCAATACCTCGATCAGTAACGTCACAACACCATTTTATATGGAGCAAGGAAAATATAAAAGAAAAACACAAAAACCTCAATTTCTGCCTAAACTATGAAAAATTCGAATAGGAATTTCTAAAGAAAGTGGTCTTTAGTTTAACCAAGGATTCAAAAAATGTCGAAATATACAGGAATGGAACATTTAAAATAATAAAGATGATGTAGGTGGACATTTTTGGGACACCCTGTATTAACAAAATTATAATATTTCAAATCTCCAGGAGAGTCCAAGAAACTTTTGTACTAAACTTTTTTTCGTATCTCCTGTGGGTTTCCAGATCGTATAGTGGATCGTTTTATTTGGCACACGGTGTACAATAGGGGTGAGATCAGTACACGTATCAAATACTTGTATAACTTTTCAATAAATTATAATTTAAGTTCATTCTTTTTCTATCCAAGACACTCCAAGTATGCGTCTACAGGATGATCAAAATTAAGTGTTCATCATTGCTAACTTTGTTATGAGTAGAGATACAAAGTCAGTTAAATTAGCTACTAGTAAATTTCTTTCGTTCGTAAATTAAAAACAGAACAAAAAAGGTCATATGCAATATTAGCCTAAAATTGAAAATAACCGAATTATCAGAGTAGATGAGCGTAAGTAGTGATCATTTATAATAAAAAAAAATTTTCTCGTTTAAGCAAAACTTATTTCTAATGATTCGATAAAGGCGCAGAAAAAATTGTTTCAAGAAGTTGTTGACTAGTTGTCAAAAAATTAGTTTTAATGTGTTAATGTGCTGTCGATGTCTCCAGTCCGCAGAGAAGGAGAGAGAGGAGAAAAAGTAACATCTAATCTGACGTTTTTATCTCTAGAACATCTATAAATGCAGCTCTAGCTTGACTCTGAATAAAGATTTATAAATCTAGGATGAAGCACGCATGTATGTTTTATTCCTTTTTCAATTTTTTCCTCATTTAACATTTTTTCGGCTTCAAAACTTTATAATTACAATTATACGCCTCTGATTGCTTTGTTGTAGTCCAAAAAACATACTTCAAGAGCTAGGTTCATATCTCGAAATATCTGTATTACAAAATTTAATGCGAATCCAAACTGACTTTCCCTGATATCTCCTTCAAATTTATTATATACACGTTTAAGGTGTTATTTTTAAAAATATCTTTAGAATATGGACTCTTTAATGTCGACAAGACATTAAATCATAGTCATAATTATGTCCTCTTGTAAATGGCATTAAGGCATTAGCTCAAAAAGTTCAAAAATTTCAAATAATATCTGATCAGGTATAGTTAGTTATATCAGGACCTATTTCACTTGTTTCTTGGCAGGGCATTATTTTTACTATATTATTTATGAATATTATATATATATATATATATATATATATATATATATATATATATATATATATATATATATATATATATATATATATATATATATATATATATATGTATATAACATAAATAACAAAAATAGAATTCAAAAAATACAACAGTTCTGTTTAGTCTAATCCATTGTATTAGAAAATTCGAACATAACTTTTAAAATAAAAGAGAACAATGTGCTCATGAAATATAGAAAGTTGCAACACTTCGGATCATTTACTGATAAAATTATTTCTGATCCATAGGCACCTCCCTACCTTAGGAGAAAATTTAGGCTTCATTCTAATATTCATTTAACGCAAGCAATGAGAAAGCAATGCAATGGATTTTTATGTAAATATTGATTGTTAAATTATTTTAAAACTTTTTTTTTTAATATCGATAAATTTGTATTGAAATAAAGAATTTAATTATTGCCGTCCTCACCCTTTTACAATCTTAGCGACGTGCCGTCGCGTCATTCACACAAAACGATACCGTTGGCGTCCTTTATCGGCGACTCAACCCCGTGTTCCCATATTGTAAACACTATTAGTTTTATATTACTTTCAGAGGCCCACGAAAGCATAAAGTTAGGCTTGGGTCATTCTGTTATTAAAAAGCTTTGAATGTAACACAACTCTTCGCCGTGCATGTAATGTTTAGATCGAACTATTAAATGTATTAAGCACAAGTAGTATTTATTTCATAAAGACTACATTATTTAACATTTTTGAGCTGTTTCGGTTCGTGGGGGTTGAGTCTGAAGAGCACAGTGTGCTAGACTTTACTTTTGTGGCTGGCAACAGCGCAAAGTAATTATATTTCAACAAAAATTGTACGCAATAAATTTGTTGATGCTTTTTTTTGTTTTTATTTCTCTTTAATAAGACGCGCTATTTGTTTATTTATATATTATAACACTAAGATTCCTTGTTACATTTTTAAATTCAATTTTGGCATTGCCATACCAAAACAACAGCGCTACTGTCTTATTAGGATTTTTTTTCGATGACTTCCCTACATAGTTCTCTGCCAGATATTGGGCCACTCCACTCCACCTTTTCAATCCGTTATTAAAGATACAACAAACCTCCCTAATCTCCTTGTCTCAAAATAACATCCAATATCTATAGGTATGCATGCACAGTAACACATAATGGGTGCAGGTTTACCCACAAAGGATGTGTTTCTTACATTATTATTTATTATTATGTATGGGGTGGCCCGTTTATCAACCTCATCTCAAAACATACGGCTTTTAAGTTTCATGAAGCCGAAACAGGGCGAAGAAACAGGCGAATCCTGGCAAATGAATCACAGTTTTGTGCCACCTAACTCACTCATTTTTAATTATTAATTTCTTATGATTCTTATTATATTGATAATTGTTATTTTATTAATTTTTTACTGAAAATACTTAAGTTACTATATTTTTCTTCTGGGTTGCACTAAGCTGATATGGTATATAATTTTATTTGTCAAACAATAAGAAAATTAGCACCAAGAAATTACGTTACCAATCCTTTTGGGATAATTAACAATGGTATTTGTTACCTAAAAGTACATTTTGGAATTAGTCTCAGCGCTGGGTGCCAATTTTCTATTTATTAAGACGGTAGTCAGATTGTTTAAGACCCAAAAAAGGGCATCCACAGCGACATGACCGTTGTAATACCCCAAACTACATTTACCTCAATAAAGATCGAAATAAAAGCAATGCTCTCGTTTCTAAAAATTTATTAAAACATAAATTTAGATCCGCTTAGAAAACACTTGATATTGCAAATTTTTTCTCGATTCGATCGAAAATAAATATATGCGAATAAATAAATACGTGGGCTATTTGAAAAGAGATAACGACGACTTCCGACTTTATACGCGCTTGATCACGCAGACGCAGCAAGACGGTACTTTGAACGTGTCAAATACTATACTCTTGGTGGCATTTTGGAACACCATCAGTTGTTTTTTCGAATATTTTTGGACACACTTGCTCACGTACCCGAAATTGTCGAACTGAATTTTGCACTGGCCGTCCGACCTGAAACAAAACGACATTAATTCGAGCTACTTTAATATAATTCTAATTAATTAAAATAATAGTTATGCAGTTTAAAAAATGTTAGTAACATACTTGAACTTGGTATGATGTAATAACTTATTTCAATACGCCTTATTGGGGGTGAAAAGTATAGCAACTTGTGAAATAACAAGAAATAGAAAATAAAAGGGAAACAACACCATTTTTAAAGACTTTATTTGAGAATTTTGTACCCCGGATTTGTCGTTCCCTTTCCAATGATTCTCAATGGGATGAAGGCTATAGAAGAACCTGTATATTATTTGCCTAAGCCAGTAGAGTTGAATAGATCAGATTGTCTTGCTGCAACACAAATCATCACTCCACTACTCTACTAGACGAAAAACAAATTCCGTTGAACAGTCCACCAACTTGGAGTTCAGGTATTTCAGCAATTATCAAATTGCAAAATATATAATTTCGTGAAAATCTGAACTTTTAGTTCTTATTTATTTTGATAAATGGATTTTCAAGTAAAAGTAAAAGCCACCCCAGTTCAATTTTTGAAAGACGCTGAAATTGGTTTCCTGGCTATTTGGTACTTCAAATTGCTTGTGCGTTGCCGAATATGTTCGCAAGACATGTCGTTTTTTAACAAATGTCTGGAAAATAAGGTTTTTCCCAAGTTCATAAAATTAAAAACCAACAACATAAATCCCGCTGCAAGGAAAGCCCAGATCCAAGGCCGGACGAAATGGATGACTGAAGAACGAAGACACGAGTACAGAAAACGGGACACAAACAACATTTATGTATTCTGAATTGTCTCATAGACTTAATCCCCTAGAATTTGACACATTTGATTATAGAGTTCGAACAGCACCTATCATTCATAAAACGTTTCTTAGACCAAAATTAAAGTTAGACAAATTAATTTCTAATACAAAAATATCTAACAGCAAACCAGTTATTACAAAGTATACCGACTATCAATTCTACAACAGGTTCATTAACTCAACAGATACAACATTTTCTAAAGATGAAGTTGAATTTCTGGAAAAAGGTTTCAACTTTAACTTACATCACTCGCACATTAATAAAGAATTAGACTGTTTAGGGATCGATTGTGAATTAGCAATTAAGGACATTAATGATTCTAATTTAAACAAACATGTATTAGCGAATATAATAAACTCTTAAATAATAGATAACAAGAAACACAAAGAAATTTCTCAAATGTCACTAGTAAGAACTATCAAAAACAAAGCTTCTGAAAATAACATAATATTTACACGTGCAGATAAAGGGAAGACAGTCATAGCTATCGATCTCCCAGGATATATTTCAAAAACCAACAATTTTCTTAAACCAGAACTTTTCCACGATCCTACCGAGTTATATCAAAGACAAGTCAAGGAAGTAATTACTAACTCCACACTATTTAGTGACAAAGACAAATATTTTTTCGCAATCATGAATCCACGACCGCCGAAATTATATTCTTTAGTTAAATTACATAAACAAGATATGCTTATTAGACCAGTCGAGTCTTATGTAATAGCGCCAGCAGTTAAACTTTCAACTAAATTAGTAAATATTTTAAAGTTCCACACAGATTTTAAACCAAAATTTGCAATAAAAAAATTATTTCCCAGTATTCCACCTATGGATGTGATAGATTTAGTAGATTTATTAGATTTAATTATTTTGAATTTAATGGACAGATTTACATCTCTAGGGAAGGTTTAATTATGGGAAAACCACTTAGTCTTTTGTCAGTCGAAATTTTTATGGATAATTTGGAAAATATCATACTAGAACATCCCTTAAGTAAAAGTTTTCTATGGTGGTATAGATACGCGAATGATGTTTTAGCTTTCTTTGTTGGAACGGACAGACAATTGAATTCTTTTTTAAATTATATTCGTATAAAATTAACTAACGGAAACGCAAAACAGATTAGATTTTTCCATTTATCATAAACCTTCACACATGGACACAGTCATACATAACAGCTCAAATCACCCTTATACACACAAAATGGCTGCATTTCACTCTTTTATACATAGACTTCTTAATACGCCACTCTCAACAGAAAATTACAACAAAGAACTTAATATCATTAAACAAATTGCAATGAACAACGGCTACAATCCGTCCATTATATATAAAATTATAAATAAAAAACAAATCCAGACAACTCTATTTATCCGAAACCTAATACAGAACACGAACAATTTAAAACAATGACATACATAGGAGAACCTAGTGAAAAAGTTTCAAAACATTTGTCAAAATGTGGTTTAAAAATAGCTTTCAGAACTAACAACACAAAAGAATAAAACGAAATGTCCAAAATCTCAGAAATCAGGTGTCTACAGGTTGAAATGCGGATCTTGTCCTAAAATTTATATTGGACAAACAGATAGATCCTTCAAGAAACGCGTTAACGAACATAAAAGAGCGTTTAAAAACAATAGTCTAGATTCTAATTATGCTACACACTTAAACACAGAAAAACACATTTTTGACCACAATTTTGATATTTTACATACAGCCACAAAAAGTAGAAAATTAAATTTATTGGAAGCCATGGAGAGTAACAAAATGAGACATTAAAATGTATTGCTTAACGATCAATTAGATTTAAATACCTTTCCGTTTTATGGTCATTTTTCGGTATATATAGTAGCAGGTAGTTTGTAAATATTACATGTGATAAAGACACGGTGTTGTCGAAACAATTGTCATGTAAAAATATATAATTTCGTGAAAATCTGAACTTTTAGTTCTTATTTATTTTGAATTATCAATCAATCAATCAATTAACAATCTCTTTGGGAAAATCTATTGATTCTTTTATCCATCCAAAATGAATTTTCCTTGGGCCTTTCAGATTTTAGTATTTTCTTTATATGCCCTCTTTCATCATGACGTGCAATATTTCTCGAAACATTGTATTTTGGCACGTTAAGCCTCTTAGAAATGGCAATTTTAGACTTTTCTTCTAAGAAGGAGTTTACTGCAACTCTGTGGGGATTGGTGTTCCATTTTTCACATTTATTTTTTTAAAAATAGGAACTATAAAGCTTAATGAATAGACAAAGTTTTAATTTGAAATCTACCTTTATAGTAAATCTCCTTTATTTGTGCCAATCGAAAGAGTTGCTTGCTCTACATTGTCTCACTTGTAAAATGAATCATTGCAGTAAATAATGATTTGACATTTCTACGCCAGCATGACAGTAACCTTAGTTTTAAATATATCCGTCTTTGACTTTATTATAAACAGATAAGAAAAATAACAATTTAAAACTATTTTGCATCCTGCTTTCGAAAATATATTTTAGAGTATATTTAGAGTTTATAACATGCAAATTTTAAGTATGTCCAGGAAAACGATGGTGATATTCACATCAAAGTTGTGATACATTTTCATTATTTCAATACAAAAATTTCATGTTTTTGATTTTCCGAATAATCCATGGTTAGTAGTCAGGGCGCCATCAAACCTTTTAACCAATTTTTTTTTTCAAGGCAATAATGATGGTGATTATTAAATTCTATTTTTGAATAATAAACCCAAGTTATTTGAAAATCGGATAAACCAAATGGATTAGACTTTCTTCATAAGTAAATATATACCATTAAAAATAGTGAAGTTGTTGATTTTTTTGACATATAATAGAGGGAAAACCGGCCATTCCCTTTAAGTGTAAGTGTCAAAATATAAATGTAAAACCATACATGTTGTAGAGGTACCGGGACGAAGATTTAAAAATCGTTTAAGCACGTAGCGTAATCAGATATGACTTCAGGGTCAATAAATATCTACCTATCTATCTATCTACATATTTATCTATCTACGGCTCCAGCATACCGTCATACCTCAACTACTTCTCAAAATCTTATTAAATTATATTTACATTTGATGGATTTTACAATTTGTATATTTCAAAATATTAGAAAAAGAACAAACTAAATAAAAGGAAACATAAAAGAAGAATGTCACCGCCAAGTGCAATATACATTTCATAACGATGTTGTGTGTTGGATCTTACCCCAATTACACAGGTCTACAAAATTAAACTTTTTGACAGATGTTCTTATTTTGAAAACTGATTTTATATAATTTTGGTAGGTTGATTTCAAAAATGGTATACATTTATTTGTATCACGTAAGTTTTTTTGCAAATATTAAAGAAAAAAAACATCTCTAAAATAATTTATTCTTTTATTCAGTAAAAAAGTGCAATCCTGGTTAAAAAAATATAAAAAAGAACGTTACTCAGACTTTTTTGAGTGAAATCTTCGTCTTTTTGCAAGAAAGCTGTGTTGTGTGTTTGTTTTTAAGGACATACACCGTTTTAACATCCAGCAGTAGGCCGCCATCATCGTTATGCTCCATCTGCCTTGGTATCGCCGTTCCATTTCCTTAATGTTCTGATGAAACCTCTCTTCCTGTTCTTCGCTAACTGCTCTAAGATTTTCAGGAAAATAGTTCAAGTGTGAAAACAGGAAATTTTCAAACTAATATAACAGCCTAGACGATGAAAGTGTTGTAACATATTTTTAACAACAACTTTCGTACTTTTTGTCCTTAGAGTTCCCAAGACACTTATCCATTACTTATTTAAATAAAACCCACGCGTTTTTCTCGACGAAAATCTTTCTTTGCATACTGTTCCTATCTGCGGCCCAACAAAAATACCTTTTTTTTTCTTGGCATCAGATACGACTGGAAATTTCTGGCTCAAATATTTGAAACACTGTCCATTTTTGTCTTGGGCTTTAACAAATTGCTTCATCTAGCGAAGTTTGATATGAAGAGGAGTCAGTAAAACTGTTTTGGTTAGTTTTGGTGTAAAGCTTGTTTTATTTGATTCTAATGTCCAATTTGAGTTCAATGTCTATCTCTTGCTCCATATTTATTCGTTCTAGAATACTAGAAATATCCAACAACGAAGGCAACAGCAACGAACACAGAACCACGACGACCAATTCAACGAAACTGAGCATAAGCAGGTTACAACGCTGTATTGACGCTTCTGCGCCATCTCTGTTGCTTTGCAGTGTTGCCAAATCACATTTAATTTCATAAAAATCAATTAATTTAAAAACCATGTCTAACATGGAACAAATATATTCATGTATGTATGTATATTAAATAAAATAACATTTTTAAGATATAGAGCGCTATACAAAATGACGTGATAGAATAAAAATATGGCGTATTTTGGAAAAAGGGCCCCCAAAAATATACAAATAAACAAACAGCTTTCAAACATTAAAATCACTGTATATCAGTGTTACTATTAGAGCTAGTTGCAGCTAGTTAGATTTTCGTGAGGACAAACTAGATGTCCAGGATATTGCAGCTATAATTCGTTACAAATTCAACTTACCGGTGTCCATTTGAAAGCACCGCAAGGTTGGCCTTGTTTAGATTCGGATTATATTGATATTCTTTCCCGAAACAAACTGCCCATAAGGGTTAAATCGCGTGCACTAAGTAACAAAGCCATTGATTTAACCGCTCCACTTTAAGGAGCTATAGACTGTGACAAATTTTATATTTTCCGAAGTGGTTGGTGTTATAGGTTTTAAAATTAACGGGAACAGCCTAAAAGCGATTGACTCAGATGTCTTAGCCCCTGTGAGACTAAAACTAGAGACTAGAAGAAAAAGAGATAGGGACGGAAGTTATAGACCCTAATTACTGGATGAAAGGAGATGATTGTTTACAATATTTTTCTTACTTACGTGCCACACTGTTTGTACTCGACCGCCTGAGTGTACTCTTTATCGTCGTTGACGACCAGCACCTCGACGTTGTTGATATTCTTCAGTTTCTTCGGATAGATTTGCGTCGATGTTTTCTCGTCGCACAGCGTTTCGTATTCCTCTGCATCCTCTTTATCGCGGGTACCTAAAACAAACGAATGTTGGGTGATTCCTTGTGGATGGTATGTGGTGCCCATCATTCGATAGAAGTTTTGTTTAGGAGAACCACAGAACTTTACCTTTAAGGTCCTTTAGGATTCACCTTCATATTTAAATATTTTTCACTTCATTTTCTACGCTTTAGGATCCAAGAATGAGTGGCCATATCTCTAACTTAACTTATATTGCAAGAATATGTATATGTAGGTACACTCCTTCTGGATTTCTTCTGCGTCGGGTAGAGAATTTAGTTTTTCTATATTCTATATTGTTCCTAAAATCACCCAACATCCACTAAAGATGTAATTAAAATTTAAGATAAAATTCCTCCCCAGGCGCAGACGTTTACAGTATCTCGTGCAGCTGTGGAAAGAATAGAGAGGGACTAATATAAACCAGACTAAAAGAAGAAATAACGATACCAGATTTTATTTGATAAGATCAAATCATTTGGCAGTTCTTTTATCCGAAAATTCGATCGAAATCATCAAACATCCTAACAGCCAGAAAAATCCAGGAGTGTACTCACAAGTTCCGCAACCTGCGGAAATTTCTTTAAAAAATTGATATGTACCTATTTCCGGAGTGGGTTTGAAATATTGCTTGAGAAGCGGGTTTTTGTCTAGTAATTGTCTAATTTCACTAAACGGATAGTCCGGCACGGATTGATCATTTGGGCGTTGGCCATCGGATGTAGTATCCCTCCGAGTAGACACGAAGTGCTCCCGTTCGGACAAGAACTCGTTCGGAAAGTACATATCGTCGTCGTTATCTAAAATTATTAAATAAAAAACGCTAAATTATCATGATTGCTCAACATTCATTTGGAGTCGTCGTTGTTAAAATCATTATTTGACATTAATATTTCAATCAACTATATTTAAATATTTAAATTCAATATATTTATTAATGACCGCAAAAGCAAATGTTTAACCATTTTAATTAAAGAGTTAATTAGTCTCGTGGAACAACGGCAACAAAATTAAAGGTTATAGTTTAAAAACTAACCTAAAATTTGTGACAGTTTGTTAATTATTCGTTTCGGACATTCAAAACTCAAAAAAAAATACCGGAATAATAGTTAATAATACAAATAGACGTTTAAAGTAGGAATATATTATCCTTCGCTGTAAAACTGCTCTTGCATGGATCATTTCAAAGTATCAAAATTAAAAATCAAATTATCAAAACTGTATATAGAATGTTGAAATTACGCGTTTCTGCATCTTTCGTTGTTTTTGAACCATCTTGTATATATAGTTTTACGTAATAATTTGTATTTATAGGAAAAGTACTTTTAATTTATGTAGCTTCTACCCCAAAAGATAAAATACTTATTTACGTGTAACGTAAAAGTGCTAAATCTGACAACACTGTTAATGGCATTTTTGAATTCTGCATGTTCGAAAACCCTCAGGTATTGAATTTTACCGTTCCAGCTTTGGCAGTTTTGGACATATATAAGCGTTTCGCTACTTTTTGTTAAAAATCGTCGTTGTCGTAGAAACAAAATTTTTGAAATTATGAGTCCTTACTCAATTCGACATGCGTAATTCATTGCAACAAAAATTAATGGGGCATTCCGTTTACAATAGCAATATTATGACGTGTAACGTAAAATCGGTAGATCTGACAACATTGCTGTTAGCATTTTTGAATTCTGCATGTTCAAAAACCCTCAAGAATTGAATTTTAATTTTCCTGCTTTGGCAGTTTTACTAACCCGGTATATTCCACACATACAGGGTGTTATTGAAATGACATCACATAATTTAATGAAGGGACAAACGGCAAGAATACTCGTTATACCGGCTAGTGCCTGATATTCCAGAAAAATTGCTCCAAAAAAAAATAAAAATTTTTTCATTTGTAGTGACAACAAAATTTTGTCACGGAACTGATTAAGCGATCTTATTCTTTTCTTATTACTAAATAACAATTTCAAACACCACAAGTTCTCCATTATAATAAGAAATCTAAATTAGAAAATAATGTGACTGACCAGTGGAATATCTTTTTCTCTCAGCACCGCAAAAGATATCTTACTGTTTACAAAATCATTAACCCTCTTAAAAATTGACTATTTTTAAGAGTCAATATTAGTCAATAACTTAGAGTTCACAAATTTTGGTTAGTTTCGTTTTGTTTCTCTCTCTGTTTCTCTGACAAACTTTTATTTGCAACCAAAAACTTAAAAATAAGGGATCTGAAAAAATGTCCGCGGTGTCTTGCGCCTGGTCTTCGATTTAACTTTATTTATTTATTTTATTGAGAACATAGATGGGGCGGCAAGTTATGGATTAGAAAAATAATGAATTTCAACTTCTTCACCGATCGTGGAATTACATTCGTTGAACAGCTTTAAGCTAATTAAAAATCATGGCTATTCTGAGTATAATGTTCTATTCAATTAATAAACTGATCATTTGTTAAATTGTTCATGGTTCCCAAAAGTGTTTCTTTACTATTTCTTATTCGTGTAATTTAGTGGGTTCCATACTTTTATTTCATGATTTTGTTATAATTGATAAACATTAATTTGGAACCAGCTTATCTTGTTTATCATCTAACTTAATAACTTCTTCATTGTTACTAAGTAACGGTATCGTACGTTTTGTGGCGTATGTGTGGAAAAGATATCGGGATTGTCAGTCAGATGTCCTGATGCGGCCATAATCGTCCTGTTAGTTATGGACTAAATAAGTAAATAAATAGAGAGCGGGGAGATGTATATAATTTTGCTGTATTATAACATAATATTGACACAAATTACTCTAATTGCAATCTGCTAAAATAATTGAAATGCTCAAACTGGGACGTGATTTGTTTGGAATATGTGAAACTTACTTTGAAAAAAAAATTCGAACACTATTGACTTGGAGAAACACTTTAAAATTTAAATATTTAATTTTGATCTCTAGTTCTGTATTGACCCATAGTACATATTTTAAGGGCCACTTTAGATTGTTAAGCGAACTCAATCGAATGGAGCCAGAAATAAACCGATTTCAGCAACCGTGCAGTAATCTAAATCGTCAATCGCTCACCATGACTGTTCCAATGGCCATGACCTTCCGAAAAGCCCATCTTACCACCGCCGTGTCGGTTCGTCGAGTTCAAAAACTGCCGATTTTGCGGTTCCCCAGTCTTTCTTCCGACGCTGCCGCTTTCCGAACACCCGGTATACGTCAACTGGAAAGTTAATTATTCGCGAATTAAATAACAATTACGGCAAAATATGTAATTAAACAATGCTCCCAAAATACAGGATTTTGCAAAATGAGGGACCATATTTTACCAACGCTCTAAAAGTGAAACATTTTTGTTAGTGTAAAAACGCTCATATTAAATTTAAAATATCAATAATAATTAATACACATTGCTATAGGATTAAGACATTATATTACAATTGTGGAAAACAATATCACAGATAAATCACTAAATGTTTGAGTTTAATGCAGGATACTTCATTGGATAGATTCTAACAGTAAGTTGCGATTTCAATGTTTTGAAAATAAACACGGAATATATCAAGCACTTCTACAATTGCAAATGGCATATTTTACAAATAAGGCGACCAAAATAGCTGATAATTGGGAATTCATTATACCGAAAATATTCCTAAAGAGGCGACACAGTATTTATAGTTTTTATTTGATCAAAAGTTGTTTGCCCAAGTCTAAATTGGATCTTAAAAATTGTTTTTTTTTGCACCACCCTGACATATTCTATCATTCATTATCTTCCTTATATTAAATATCATATAAGTGATTTGATTTGATTTAATCCTCAAAATTGCCTAAAATTTCACTGAGATTTCCGAGTTACCCTGACATTTCCAAAATTCCTCTAAATTTCGGGATATATGATAATCTAAACTTCCAAAATACATTAGAATTTTTTTGTGTTGAAATTAATAAAAGTTTATTAAATACAAAATTGTCAGTTATAATATTTGGAGCTCGTAAAAAAATATGCAATTTGGATAGTTTTCTAGATATTTACCTATGAAAAAGGACAAAATTTTTCTTTACCGTTACTAACCAACAGTCATCACGTCACCTTTCACACTTGTATCTTACACTTTGTATTATTTGTATAATTAATTAATCTGGGATCCACAAATATTTTCTTATCTTCTAACTGACCCGCGGAATGTAAACAATTATAAAAATAATAATCCGCAACGGAGCTGGTTTGTTTCCGAGAAAATTATAAATAAATTTGAATGACAATACGCCTGTTGCTATACTTAGAATTCGTAACTTTTTACGATCGGAATTGTAAATCAAATGTATATTTAAACAAAACTGACTTGTTGGAAAAAGTTTAGAGCTTCAAATTTGTCTAACTGAACCGTATGTAACGTCGTTTTATTTTTTAATAGAAAAAATAATTTTTTTTCAAAGAAACTTCCTCAGGCTACTGTAATACTTTTTACAAAACTTCTGGATTCCGGCTGCGTCTGTTTTTGCTGAGTCGAACTTAGTGACGTTTCGCCAATCACCCTGTTGGCTCCTTCAGAGCTTGACTGAAACTGGCTCGTATTTTACTCTGTACCTGCTTATATATTGTTTGAGGGAGGCGGAGCTAAATGAGGGGCATAAACACCGTCTCGGATGACTGATTCCCAAATTGGTGCCACGCAGAAACCTCAACCGAGACTCAGGTCTGTCACCAAAACGTCAGCAATTTCGACTCAGCAAAAACCGACGCAGCCGGAATCCAGAAGTTTTGTGAAAAGAAAAAAAATTATACACAATAATTGAATCATTTTAATGTAGCTGTTTAGGGTAATAGCACTTTCATTTTATTTGTTTATTAAAAACGATTGGAAAATTTTAATGTTTGTTATACAAATAGGGTATGTGTCTGAATGTATCTCATAACTATGTCACTGCAACTAATTTCCAAATTTAAAATTTGAATTTTTGAATTTGTGAGAAAATTTCAATGGCAAGTTCATTGAGGTATTGGAATACTTATCCCTAGTAGTTTCGTAGATGTTATGATTAATTTCAAAATTATAAACATTATTAACCAGTTTGGGCCTATAGACTATATCTATTTATCTGTACCAATTTTCAATTTTATTTAATATTTTCTTTTTTTTCTGTATCAAAATTAAATTAAAAACTAAAGTTTCTCTACCATTGATTTTGACAAACTTTGATACGTTTTTGGTTTTATTATAATTTGATAGGTCAACTTAACCCATTGTTTAATCCAAACATCAAATTTTACAATTCATTTCATGAAAATAATATAAGATCATATATATTTCCATTTGTTAAACATTTTTATTACAAAGTTTATTACTATGCATTTGGTTTTTATGTTTTCTGAATTAAAATTATCAACAAACATTTTAATTGGGCGCTGCGGATTGCGGTGATATATGTTTAAATTTTGAGGAAGCCACGATGCCGCAACTGGAGTTCTTGTGCATTACACGTTCATTTTTATCACTGTTAAAAATAGACTGAATACGACGAAATATGAACTGACCAGTATAAGAAATAAAATCTAAAGAATTTCTATAAAATTAGATTAGATTAGATTTGTTATTTAGTTATTTATTAAATTTGGAATAATCTCTGCTAATGTACCGTGTAATATGGTATGAAATGAAAATAGTCTAATGTATTTGTTTTAAATTTGATTTTCTAGTAAAACTAATTCGAAAACGAGTTAATTGTAATCAGCGTACTGGGAAATTTTAAGCCGCATTTCATTGGAGCAATTTGATTCTAGATAGTTTTACTAGAAAGTCGGTAGAAATTTTCAACCAACTGAAAGACAAATTTGTAAAATATATCCCCATTACTGGAGCATCTAAATTTTAGGAAAAGGCTTCAGGCTTCTGTTACCATTTAAGGAGTACAATTGGTTTTTGAAAATGTGCATTTTTATGTAGAATTTATTGGTATAAATAAAAATAGTACTTCAAAAATATTGCACACTTGATATTGTACTACAGTTTTTCCTCTAACCTTATACATATGCATATACTAAACATATTTGATGTATAGTATTTTGATAGTGGATTTATGTTTATGAAGCGAGAGAATTGGAGACGTTTGTATAAAGTGCTGAATAAAATGTAATATACTAATCATATCAATTTTTGCATTTTCTAAACCTAATTTAATTTACTTGGTTAAATTGCAATACGTGTAGTTCTTTTTAAAGAATTCGTCATTTTTTATAACATTTGGCAAACTACACTTTCATCTGCAGTCACTAGATTTATGAGCCTTCTGTTAATGAGGCTTAACTTTTTTTAAAACAATACTCCAAAAACCAAAATTTCAATGGATTTCATCATCCCAAGGATGTTGCTTCTTCGCATAAACACTTTTTGCACTTCGCCTGATATTTAGTATCCCATAGTTTTGAAAATGTGGAATTCAATGGTTTTCTTTATGATATTGACACTAAATACTTATATTGACACTTATAATAGAGGTTAATGAAAACAAGCGGTTTACGCCTATTTCCATTCACGAATTTGGGGAAAATCGCTGGAAATATTATCTGCCGAACTGCAATATCACAATTATCACAAGAAAAACTAGTGGCTACCTGGCCTAAAAGTCAGTCAGTATTTGATCATAATCAGCACGCATTTGTTTTATGTCCAACGTCTACATGTTCAAAATGGTGAAAACTATATATCTGATAGTACTCACTCAAAATATGTGCTATATTTTGTCATATTTATGTTATTATCAATAATTCAGCAGTATACAGGGTGTCTCATACATAATCGATATTTGTGTTGAGAACCATTGGTAATTATATTAGATTCTACGTAAAAAGATGCTTTGGGAATGTTTTCTTAGAAAAGAAAACAGCCTATGCATCGTAACCTATTATTAAGTTATTAAAATTGACACCAACAATAGTTTAAGTCCATTCAAATAGTAAGTGTCCAATTTGGCACACCATATACAGGGTGGCCCGTTTAAGAGGCCTTATCTCGAAACCAACGAGGGTTACAAAAAGAAATTAAATTCAAAAGTGGTTTCTATTAAAATGATCTTTATTTTTTTCATTTTCCTAATCGTCACTTTTTAATATACAGGGTGGTAAAATAAATTTACATCTCCTTAAATAGATATAATAATATATATAAATATCACATATTTTATTGCATTTTTGATAGTTCTTTCAAAGACAAATTCAACGATATACATGAGTACACGGGTCTGTGATACACCGTTTCGAACTTATTAGAAGCTTATGTTTAAACCATCCTAGTTGGGTTGCTTGTTAACTTTTTAAACTTTTTTCCATCTATTATTTTTACCAAAATAATGGGTGTTCTATTTAAAAAATGCAACTTAGTTTTACCAAACTGTATATAAAAAAGTGACGATTAGGAAAAAAAGGTCATTTTAATAGAAACAACTCCCGTAGGTTTCGAGATAAGGTAAATGCCCCTCTTAAACGGGCCACCCTGTACATGCGGTAAGCGTAATAGTAATGAATAGTCCAGCAGAAGACTGGTGATTATTTACGGCTGGTTCACGTCTTGACCAATTATTTTCGTAATCGAATTTTTACGTGCCAGCTTTGTCGCAGGAGTGTCGCGGGGATTCCCGCTGTACAGAAAATCCACATAAAATAGGAATTTCGAGTTAACCGTAACGGGGATACTTTTTTTAAAAACCGCAAACACGAAAGTTTGTCTAAATGTTCGGAAATTCGCTGAAATCAGAACAATTATTATGATAATTTTTGATAGGACTCACACGTGCATGTGTGACGAGAATGGAAGTCTACAATTTTCTTCTTCTACAATTATGCATTTTTTCTAAATTCAGTTTATTTTTTGGATAACGTCTTTCTGCAATTTTGTAGTGTGCAGTTATTTGTAATTAAGGCTTGTTTATGCAGTAACGTAGATTTGTTTTTGAGTGTTATCTCTCGTGTTTCTTGTCGAATATTAAATACGAATATATGATTCGAATTTATTTAAAGCCTTTTTTAAATGATTATAACGAAAAAATCACTTGTATAATTTGTATCTTATGGTTATTTTTTTTAAAGCTATATTGTCTTGACATTTTAAACATTGTATAATATTCATACTTAGATGCAATTTAAGGGTTTCCCAGTTACAATTATTTTTTATATTTTTACAAAGAATTATTGCACAAATGTCAACTTCTTTTGTTTTTTTTTCTAGCAGCACTAAAACTTGAACATATTCCTATGTAAATATATTCTGCATGTGTGCTGTATCTGCCTCACAATCCATTTAATATATGAAAGTAATAAATTTTACCAAGAAATATAATTAGTCGTATATAAACATGTACATATATATATTTTTTAATTATCACCAACATTATATTATTATTATAACCTGCAATTTTTACGATTGCTTGCGGACTGAAAAAATTGAACACTTTCACTTCCTCAGGAGAGCCCAAGAAAGGGCCGAAACGTTGGCATAGGTAATAATAATAATAATAATAATAATAATAATAATATGACTCTATTAGTCAAAAGGGAAAATAATTTACAATTAATCAGAGAAAAATATTAGGTGTTCTTTACTGGCCCAGTCTAGCTTAGAGCTACTTTACTGAATCAGCAAGTACACTGTAGATTGGGTACTAAATTTTTTTAGAGAAGAATAACCCTGTTAAACGAGAGTCACTAACTTTTAGATTACAAATAGCTGTATTCTTATCAAGGAAAGTGCTGTGTAGTTTGTTTTATATATTAAGTTTAGATTTAAAACACTTAAGTTTAATAAATCAACTGGTAAAGCATTATAATCAAAAGCCGCATTATATGAATGCGTATGGTGATGTGATGCTATAATTTCAGTGTCATTTGCATTTATCTAACTCGTATTTCTCACTTTTTGTCTGGTCAGTAAAAATAGATACTGATATAAGTGATAAAAAAATGTAATGATTAAGGACCTAAAATCCACAGTCACACTCTAAACTACACAACTGGTTCTCTGGAAGTAATCCGATTTTAAGTTCCCCTAAAACCCAGCGTTTGTAGAGGTTTTAGAGAAATCCTCATCTGGAATATAAAAATCGAAGAAAGAAAAAGTCTAGAGAGGACATGTAAATTGTACTTGCTAAAAATACCTTAATGCAGTGTTTGCTTATCCATTTATTCCTTGCTGGTTTATTCTGTATATATGTAATAATATAAAAACGCGCCTGTTTGAAATGAAAACATACGCTTTGAAACATCTATGAGGCAATTTACCGGCATTTTCTAACCTAAGCTTTCGAAAATTCACATCTACACATACCCATAACCGTAGTTTAGAAGCGAAATAGAGATAACAACAACTTAAAGGGACATTTACCATGAGCAAAACTATAAAGATGACCTTAATGCAACGGTCCATGTTGATGTCGACGAGACGACTACTATCACAGTCAAAACACCACGGCAATTCGCGGGAACTCTCGGCCGATCAACATTTATTTTTAAAGTTTTTCACTTTCATTGTGTTTATTTATATAATGTCGAGAGAACGCCAGAAGGAGCTTGAACGGCGCGACGTTGCGCTTTCTCGACGGTCTAGCAGTGGATTGCACTACGTAGAGGATTTAACTTACTAATACAGTATCATTGTTGAATTATCCGGAAAGACAGGGACGGATCCGAAACAGCTGAGCTAGCATAGCGAATCGGTCCATCGAACGCGAACCACGATACGAAGAGACACTTGTTGCCCGTAAATTGCACGGTCCGAGAAGAATCCGCGGTCTTAATTTGCGATGCAGGATATTTTTTACCTGCTTTTACGAGGGGCGTAGCACTGAGGGCAAAGCTGTTAGACCCAAAATTTCAATGTTTCAGTCTTATTCAGATTTATAGTTTTTATTGTTATTACAATATTTATTTATTTACTTCAAGAAGTCTACCTAACAGACATGAAATCCAACTAACCGGTAGGTTGTAGTAAGGGGTGTTTTTTTTTCGATGTATAGAACTTCAAGTTGCAATAAAACAACGATGGATTATTCGATTGACATGAATTTTATTTATCCGCAAGATAATCTTGTGGCATTACATTTTAAATATGATTTCTGGCATATGCCCGCCACGACTGCCGCGGATGTAGTCCAATCTCGACGTCCAATTTTCGATGACTTTTTCCAACATTTGTGGCCGTATATCGGCGAATGTTCTCTTCCAAATGGCCAAGCGTTGAATCACCAAAAACCACCGTTCTATCGCACGCATAGAAAATGACTCTGCCTCGCAGGTCTAAATTGTAAAGGCCCTAGCACCTTTCCGTGTAGCATACAGCTTTGGTCACTTAAAATGCTTCCATATTTATAAAAAAAATAATAAAAAATCAGTTTAGTTATAACGTGCATAAGAGATTGAAACAATTTAGGATTCTATGATTATAACTAAACACAATTGTATTTTAAATTCTTATATTATAGTTATTGTGGCGCAAACTTCATTTACATAAACACATATTGAAATTGTGGGACCATTTTTAATTGGCCAGTTTTTCCATTGAAATATGTCGAAAACGGAAATATAATTATAATTTTCCAAAGAAGAAACTAACAAGAAAGTTAAAGGATAGAGTATCAAGATTCTACAGATTACTGGGTGTGCATACCTCTTTTTTGGAATCCCCCGAATGAAAGTTTTGCTCTTTGACGCATTCACACGAATATTACGTATAAAAAAATCCATATCAAAATTAAAAGTCTTGGCAGCTACATTAGAGTAATTCTTGGTAAACCTCACATTAATATAAGATACAATTTGATACCGCGTCCTGTCGTCGTTGTATCTAGCCGTTGATATGAGAATTGACATTGACTGCTGAACGAGATTATCGGAACAGACCCGATTTTCAAATCCAATAAGAGACCACGCAGAGAGTTTAAAAATCCGAAGAAGTCGAAAAGTAATACAATTAGCAAAACATAAACTTTACGCACTAAATTGAAAAAAGTAAACAATCGGATTGAACAAATATTCAATTTTTTACACTCATAATATCGTTTGGTTTCGTTAGCTTTAGAGGGAGTATTCTTAAAATTCAAAAATTAATGATCAAAAATGTTTATATTCCTGAGCGTTTTGAAATGATCTTCAGAGCGTGTTAAGCCTGGTGACGTTATAAAGTTTTATTATAGAAAAATGAGCTATATATTGCTTTAATTTTAGCTAGGTGCCACTTTTCAAAAGTATTTTGACTTAGCATTTCCGATCGCCTATGTTTTATTAAAAAAAGCAAACCTTTGTAATAAGATTTTCTTTAGGAATTATACAATTAAAAAAATTTCTATGGATCTTTTTGTAAAACAATTACGAAAATGAGTGATCGAACCTAACTGATTAATTTGCGACAAATAGGTCACTTTGGTCATTTCGAGTAATTTTCGAGTAAATAAATTGAAGACTAACAGAAATAAAGCAATGGCCAATTCATTTTAGCAAGCAAGTTTAAACACTCGACCAAAAGCAAAAAGGCACTATCAAAAATATCGTAAATTTATTTTGAGGTGATCTTGTGAAATCCGTGTCCATTTTTTTGTGATTTATTTAAGAACAAAAAGAAGACGTTTCGACTTTGTACACCAAAACGTATTTTTGTTTTGTTTTAAGAATATTATGGTACGTACTGTAGCGTGTAATGTGTAATTTTTTTGTCATTTTCTAATTGCTCGTCATAAAGTGGCCAGCAATAGTATTTTCATTATTTTTATTTCAAATTATCTATCAAAATTTCCCCAATCAATTGGCTAATGTCAGGGTAAGTAAGTACTTCCATCATATAACATTGTTTCTGTGAGTATGAGGGGCTCTTTCCATGAATGTAAAAGCATCTATAGTTTTAAAACTAGGAAGAACACAACCAGTATTTTGTGATGAGTTTAAACAACACGTCAATAACACACTGTTTCTACCATAAAAAAACTATTTTTTACGACTCTACATACAGGGTGACCAAATAAGAATGTGAAGTACTAAATATCAGAAGGAAGACCACGGAAAATATTTTCAGATTTCTAAGAGGGTCGACAGAGTGTGTAACCACCATCATTTAATAGAAAAAATTTTGATTTAAAAATTATAAACATTATTAGAAATTTTACTATCGATTGATAATAGCCTTTTTTTAAAATTTTGTTTCATTTGTATTTCAGGCTAGGAATAAGATATCGAGATACGGTTTTTATTAGACCCTGTTAAAACCAGTTCAGAATTTAATGGATCAACCCCCACCACTTTATTTTAATACGTACTTTACGAAGCGCTAAACCAAAATTGCTCGAATAGAGTTCACCTTGACGAAGAATTTTTGGTACATATTTTCCACGGTCTTATTTAGACAACTTTAAACCACTGCGAAATTGGATTTAGAATACAGAAAGAAAGGGCCGCCTTCAATCAAATGGTTAAATTGTTTGAAGTAACCGTTTCAACGTAGATATCAAAATTAGACTCCTTAGATGCCATATTTGCTTTATACTTTTCTATGGAATGGAGGCCTTACAGAATAATTTTAATTTTAGACAGAGTGGCAAACAAAAAAGTACTGAAACGAATACAATAGCATTTAGAACTAATAATCACCATCGAAAGAAGAAAACTGAAATGCCTTGGACATATTATGACGAAAGAAATTAAATACGGCCTTTCAAAATCTGTTCTCCAAGCGAAAGTTCATGGTAAATCATAGCTCAAAAATTTAAGAACTTGGTTCTCAAAAACAAAACCCGATTATGCTTTTTAGAAAACTTCCGGTTTTTGGTGAGTCGAACTTGCTGACATTTCACCAATCATCCTGTTGACTTCTTCAGAGCTTGACGGAAACTGGAAAAAAACCCGATTACTTAGAGCAGCCGTTATAGCTATGTTGGATCATCAATATTCTGGATGAATAGGCACCTGGAGAAGAAACCACTGCGGATATACAGTACTTGTCACCATGCGCATTTTCCCATATACGAGGGAATGAGCATCAATAATTTCACAAAACGGAACAGAAGGCACTTATTCAATAATTTGTATTTTTATAGAGAAAACAGTAGGGCTAAAATATCACGGTTAAATATTTCAAATACAAATTTTATTACTTAATAGTTACATGACAATTTTTTGAAAATGATTCCCTTGTACACGAAGTTACATTCGAAAACTCATTGTTCTTTGAATTGGCAAACAAAATAACCGAATCATTCGTTTTCGAGGACATCGGACACGGAGGAGGATCGTGATGGCGCGTATCTAATACGGCGAGGTAAAACTAGTATTTACATCTCCGAAATATATCTTCGTTCAACCGATTACGCATCTGCGACCAACCAAGATAGTCCGGACCTGTTAATACGGCAGCATTAAGCCTCGCAAGGTTATCAACAACGTTAATAAACTATAATGGACTGAAAATTTGTTGGCCGGCCGAGGAAGTCCCTTCACGCATTGTTTCGCGGTGTGTTTTTACGCTTATACAGCTTCCACCTAGTTTCAAAAGTTGATGGGGAAAATGCCGGTTCCCAGAAAGCCGCCAATATTAATTATTATAAATATCGTAAATCGCATGTTTTTCTTTTGAAAACGGTATCGTTTTGAATCGTCTGAAACAAAGTTCTTTAACACAAGCTCAGTTGAGATTTGTCCATTATGAGCAACATTCTTATGACGCACTCCCGTCAATGTACCCAAACGGGTTTGCTGCGTTAATGATACGGGCCTAAACTATTGTTGAATTGATAGGGTCAACTCATTTGCCAAACTTTCTTAACAACTTTGCATGGACAAGAACGATTACGCGGAATTTTATTTGTATGATCGCCATTTTCCATTATCGTGCGAAAACGTTTAAACTGAAATTTTTTAGATAAATAATGCATAGTGTATGGATAATTAATTACCAATCAGCGCGTTCTCAGTAATTAAAGTCATATCAAGGACAGTTTTTATAATACAAGGAACCGTTTTATGTAAAAAATACAAATCAAACATGTTGGTTCTCACTTCAAAAATATTTCTTAAGTGAATTTCATCATTTTTTTTGTCAAACCTTTTTTGTGTTTGAATGCCAATTAACATAATCTTTAAGCCACGAATTTATTTTCCTTTTGCTTGCGTATTCATGATTTTTGGTGGAGGTTCGAAAAATTAAAACTTGAAGAAAAATAAATAATAACATTAGATATTTTGATGTACAATTTGTATGTAGTATTGGGTGGTATTGTGAAAAAGCAATAAAGTTAATTAACGAAATTTTTATTTCGATTTTAAATAATGAATTACAATGTAATATTGTAAATTAGAAGTTATTAGAGATTAATAACAACCCGTTAAGTGAACGCGCGCCTCAAAATTCAACTTTTTTTTAAACTTTGAGTGTTGTGTGAGATATTGTAAAAAAAATCATTTGGATTGATCAGCCATGCGGGAGTTGTCGACATCTATTTCCAAAAAAACTTCGAACATCTAATCTGTAGCATTTTTCTCTTGGTCGATTGTTTAATGTATATTTCTATAGTTTGTCAATTTCTTCTTACTTTAAAAATGTTTTAGTTTCTTTCTTCCTTCAGATATATTCAGTCCGATTAGTGATAGTATCCTTTTTTACTATCGATCACTTTTGGTTGTGGGAAGATTTTCAACTTATTTTTGCTAAACTCTGCCATGTTAATATTAATTTCTTATTTAGAAAGCGTGTCATCTTTAAATAAGTATATTTTTATTTTTTTAAAGTAAGTTTTGACATTCAGTATGTAATTAGTCTTAAAAACGATTTTCAAGGTGAAATTCCATTAAACAAAAAATTGAAGCAATGAATTTAATTTCACACTTTAGCTTTCTTATGTTTTCATGTCTCTTGGTGGATCACATCCACACACATCTTTTTTATTTTCTAAAGAAATGTATAAAAAAATGTAACTAACTAACTATTCAATCCCCAATAATATTTTAAATGCCAAAACCAAAGAGATCTGGTGTTAAGTTTTGTTGAAATTGAAGTGTAAGATTAAAAAAAATATATATCTTTTTTATACTTTGTTATTCCAACCTTTTGGCGGCTGTGTTAACATTTACATTTTGGGCCGATTTAAAACCAAGCTTTCATTTTTCACATTGTAATTAGTACAATTCATTTATCAAAGAGTTGGTTTCCTCTTTTTTTTACTAAAAAAATGTGTTCAATAATTCATAAAATGAACCAGAAGTAGTTCTTACCTGTCAGTATAAATGCTCATATTTTTCAAGATATTTTCCGTATCTTTATTTTGAGTGGCAATCTTTAATATCTTTATATGTTTCATTTGGCACGCCACTGCAGTTGATTGCAGGTAATTTGTGGACATTACGATTTACTTGACGCTTCGATCCATTGGACGGAATTAATTAACTGTTAATACTTTGTCGCAATTTGGTCCATGTTGCCGTTAATATATGTTTGGATAATTATAAATAATAAATAATATTTTAGTATTAACTCCAAAATTGGTTATGAGCTTTAAAAGATTAGATTTTTGTGGTATCTTTATATGCGGTCATAGTAGAATTTAACAAAAATAAATCGTGATAAAATATAAGAAAATTTACAACTTTTGATGGGAATGAGTCTTTATATCCCATCCAAATAGTGAAACTCTTCTATCGAAAAATCATTTAATCTAAATCTAAACTAACGGTAATAGAAAAAGTATAGTATGCAACACGTTCGGTAAACTTTTTAAGTCAGTCGTTTGTTAAGCACTCGCTCCGTTTATGTCAAATAAAGTCGTAAGTCAAATGCCGTTTACGGCACTTGTTGCATAATATATTATTACCAAGAATCGTATTTTGTGAACCTCACCTCATCATTTATTTTTTCTACTCCTTTCTGTAAAATACCTAATTATACACCAACCTAGCGCACGGAAAATGTCAATTTATCACTTTACTTTTTTTTTCACGGATTTCCGGAATATTACCGCACGGATTGTATTGTATTGGCGGGCGTCGAAGTGAATTTTAAAGAGAACTATCAGAAATGCATGCGAATTAACCAAATCGTCATCGATAACATCCGAAAGTTCAGATATATTATTCTTTATTGAACTAATAACATTAAATAAGACACTTGACACTAATTATCAGCACAGTGAATTAAAAAAATGGCTAATCCTGCATTTTCATACAAAACAACATAGCTTTGTAATTAATGTTATATAAGAAAATAAAAAATCATAAATAAACAATATGTAAATATAATATTTAATCTTTCTATTTTTAAAAACCTTTAAAATTGCGTCCCTTGTGTCAAGAATAGACGATATAATTTGAGACATAACATACTTGATCCATTAACTTAAAATAGCAGTTATAAACGAATTGGATTTACTTCTGAGGGTGGACTGTTTTAATTCCACTTATTTTTTAACTGCTCACACGTCGAACCACTTTGAAATTGGTTCAATTAAAATGATACGGCGGAAACCATCGTGACGCCTACCAACAACCTACCATTAAATACTAATTAGTTGAACTGGCTCGATACCGAGAAACATCGCCGATCGGCAGGTCAGTTGACCGACAGCTTCTCCATAAGAAATACCTGACGATCGAGACGGTGTATTAATTATTTTTGTGCCTACATTTGATTGTGCGAGCGACCAAGATGCATTTGCAATCGTTGAAGATTTCGCTGCTGTGCGTTTTTTATCTGGTAAGCGGAATATCGGCTCTTTACTCCAAACGTTATGGGTTCCAATTGGAAGTTAATTAAAGTGAAATTTTATCTAATAGAGCCAACAATTGCGGCCTGGGCTTGTGTTAAAGCGATTGGATTGCCTTCCAAAAGGGAAAAACTAACGATAATGTATTAGTGCTCTCAAATATCGATTAATTTTTTTTCTATCAATAAATGAAGCGATCAAATGAAATCGTACTCTGCGCATGTGCTATTCTATCGGAGATATTTATTTTACTATGCGTATGTGTTCGAGAAAGTCCCGTATATATTAATAAGGTCAACGGTATTTGTTTAAACGTTGTTGGTACATCTGACTAGTTATTATGAGTATTAACGACCATACAAGTCTCGGCCAAGCAATTAGACAAGTCAGTTGCGAGAAGTATTACTATACAAGGTATAAGCAATCTTTTATCGAAAAGCCACTTGAATAAATATGGCAGAATGTTGCTTCCTCTCCTTTTGTCATATTTCAATTAAGTTCTCCGGTTTTGCAATACCACTGTGGTGACAACGCGTTAGAAATGGAGTGAATTAAAAAAACCGTCGTTTTTCCTCGTAATATACTTTGAAGCGTGCAGCGTTTAGTCTAAATAACACCTGCTATAGCCATTCTACAATACAGTTTGATGGAAGCCGGAACTGGCTATCTAATTGGTCAATAAAAGCTGACGAGTGGGCTTAATGTATAGTTCAAATTTTTGTAAACTGAGCGATAAATTTTTTTCTACTACCAAAATTTTAATATATTTAAAAATTTCCTGTTTCCTGAAAACTTAATGGATGATATTGTCCATGTCCAGATGGCGCTAAGCGTGGGGTACTTGTACGTAATTTGTGCGGCAAAGCATCAAGTGGCCCACGGGTCCGACAAGCTTTACCGGCCATAAAATGCTATGGGATTCTTTAATCTGTTGAATAATGGTAGGGACCCTATAAACACAACAATGGGCAACCATCGTAAACGGACCTACTGAGGAATGTTGCCCCTCATCCCCCGCTGTTGATATCCGTCCCTAAAGTCCGGTTTACGAGATGAAATTTCTACATGTATTTCATGTACTCTTCCGGGAAAATTTCGCGGGGTGTGTGAGTCGTACGAAATTTTATCAAACTTTTCTCCGAATCATTTTTTTCTTTCGTCCTTAATTTTCCTTAGGCTCCTGGTTACGGATTGGAATGAAAACAATTACATATAAAGGCCACACTTTTTATTTTCATTTAATATGGTGGTACAGTCATAAAAACACCAGTAAAATATAAGATTGCGTCGATAGGCGGGGCAAGTTCTCTCTCTCTCTCTCTCTCTCTCTCTCTCTCTCTCTCTCTCTCTCTCTCTCTCTCTCTCTCTCTCTCTCTCTCTCTCTCTCTCTCTCTCTCTCTCTCTCTCTCTCTCTCTCTCTCTCTCTCTCTCGAAACAAAATTCGAGACTGTTTAAACCAAATTATCCGATGTTTTATAGTTTTTCATTTACGGCTAATAATCTATCCACAAAACGGCAATTTTCAGGGTTTTTTTTTTTTGGATTTTTTCTACGCATAATTGACACACCCTGTACATAATTGAAAGAATTCCGCAATATATAGCCCTGGATCTTCCACGTTTCCTGGTCCAAGAATTTTTCCAAAATACTAAATGGTTTTCGAGAAAATAATTTTTTTTTTGAAACCATACAGTGCGTCGTAACAATCAATGACGTCATCGCCCCCGAAATAGCGGTTTTAATATGGATTTTTTCAAATATCCCGAGCAGCGTACGTGATAGACGGAAACCTCAAATACACTGTTTGAACCGATTAGCCATATTTTTTACGATTTTTGATTTGCGGTTGATAATTTACTCTGTCAAAGAACAATTTTCTAGGTCTTAGATTTTTGCATATAATTTGAAAATCCTGCGTATAATCGAAAAAATGCCTGAAGTCAGTATTATTGCACTTGAACGGGTGAACGATTATGGAGAAAAACATATTTTTCTGGAAGTCAAAATTACCAAAAAAAAATCAAAAATTAAAAAAAAAAACTTGCCACAGATCTTTACTTCTCTGCTAAATTTGAAGTTGATATCTGCAAATTTAGGACACTTAACACATTTCTTATTTAACACGGAGTATTGGGAACATCCTGTACAATAGGTGAAAACCTTAAATACAAATGTTTTAGGTGTCTATGCGGGCTATATCGTAATGTAAAAGAACGTGACATCTGAATCATAGTCTTTCAGTTATAACCAATTTTCCATTTTTCAGTTTTTTTGAATTTGCGGCGCACCCTGTATATTTTTGGAAAAATATCAAGTATTAAAGTTTATGGGCCAGTACCTTCTGCGTCTTCTGGTTCTAAATTTTTTTTGGTCTTGGAACCGGTTTTTGAAAAATGGTCTGGTAGATCCATGCAAACGCGATTTTTAATTTGTTTTCAATACTTCCCGACCCCCTCAGTCCCCCCATTTTCAATAGATTCCGTCATGGGGCAAAGCTGCATTTATGCGCCAAATATGAAGTCGATTGCTTTAAATTTCGGACACTTATCGTGTTTCATAGCAATGTCCAAAAAACAGTCGAAAATCGCGAAAAAAAGATGGATGCCCGCATCGTATTGAGGCCATTCATAAGCTTACGTAGAGGGTTAAAAAGGAGACAAATTTAAATTTTGTAGCTCCAACGGTTAGAAAGTTATTCAGAAAAACCAAAAGGCGAGAACGGACAGACAAAAAACATTTTTTTTCGACGCTAATCATTTCTGTACCAACGACGGTCCCCTAGGACCTACCGACACCGAGATATAAAATTTGTTTACGAGCGTAGATACTTTCGAAAAAATCGATTTCATCGTTTTTCGAAAGTAACAAATGTAAAAAGTTACAAGCTATCTCAGAAAACAAATATCCATCCTAAATAACCCAAGCACATTTCACTCCTTAACAATTGCGAAATATAAATCTGAATTTTAACCAGCAAGTGTTGTCTGCCAACCAGACTCAACCGAACAGTGAGTCGAAATGGGGATTCTCCCCTAAATTAAATTTGTGCCCTTGAACTTTTCATTCGGGTCCCGTTTTACAATGACCGGACATAATAACTAAGACGTAATAAGTAAAAACTGGAAAAAACAAATTATCGAGACTCCATTCGCCTGTCGAAGAGGAAACAATTTTTGGAAGGTCGTCGTTCCAGCGAATTTTAAATAAAAATGTCTTTCCCATTGTAATGGAAACGGTAGTTTCAAAATTATCTCTTTTCGTAACAAAAATCCAGCTGAAAATATATACAAGGGTTCCTATCACATACTTAAATAATGACATTTTTGTAAACTGATTTTACATCTGTCTCTCTTAATAATAACCATTATCAGATTTGAAATTAAAATCAAACTCTGTATAAAATAAAATAAAAACATTTTATTTTCCTTAAAATAAAAAAGTTATGTACTTGTGCAGAATGTCCCAGGCAATTTTTACTTTATTTTTTGAACCAAAAATGCTATAAGAATTAAAAAATTAGAAATCTTAATTTTTTAAAACCATTTTTTAAATTTTTCTTTGATATTTCAAGATACGAATAAGAAATCATGATACTGTTTTCGAATCTAATTAAAAATTAAATTAAACTAAAATAATATGCACTATCTCCATATACCAAATTTGAAAAAAACATTTAATTCTTCAGAATTTTCAGTAGCCACTCACCCATTAGATGTGTGGGTATTTCATTTTTTGACGACAATTGTGTTATGGAATCTTCGTAGGATTTCTATCTGAAGAGCGTTCTTTACCTTAATATGAGTACCTTAATAACATTCGTGGCTGCTGATTTAAACATATTTTTCAGCAGCATGGGGCACGTGCTGTAATACCCAAATGATATTCCCCTTTTCAGAAGACCATTTCCTAAATATATTTGTTTTATGTTACATGTTACACTCATTTATGGCATCCTAGGTTTCATCGCTTTCAGTCTCTCAGTATTAATACTGCTTCTAGGTTCCACTAATTCTCTTCTATCTTCTCTTGCGTCTGCGTTCTGGTGGACTCGAGTTATTTTTTTTTTGGCCACCTAATATACTCTATTCTGCAGATATGTCCACTAAAATTAGTTTACAGCATCTTTTCCAATATCCCATTTCCATGGCAAGCAGTTTTCACTTCATTTGTTCTGTTGACTCCCACACTTCAGTCCTCTACGATACTTTCTACCATTGATTTATTTATTTTCACTTCGGAGGCTTCTTTTATTTGGTTGTTCCACAGAACTCAATTTAGTGGTATAGTTGCAACCCATGCTTGGTTTATTCGGCTCTTATTCTCTTGGGTGCTTGGGTGTTTATGGATTAGCCTCACTTGACGTATTCTTCGTCCAGCTGTCTCAGCATGTAGTACTTCATCCCCAGCAAGCACCTCCGTTTTCCTTTATTCCCATACTGCGACACATACCTCCCCAACGTTTATGGGTGAAGTTTATTTTGAAGGGAGGTGGAGCTATCGCGCATCCTTGGTGAAGCCCTTTTGTGATTGGGAAAGCGTCTGATACTCTGTTGCCAACTTTAATGCTATTTGATATATTTGTCTTTAAACTGCCTTGATAAAAATCTCGCTAACATCATTTTCTCTTAGTGTAGGCCATAGTTTGCTAGTTTGTAAGTACTAATATGTTATCCGTACACGACCGGACAGCATAAAAGCGACTCTTGTTTCCGCGACGTCCTTTACTTCATTCTCGATTCTGTTTTTTATTATTTTCCCATACAGTCTTCAAAGAGAATTATTTAAGCCTATTGCTCTGTAGTTTGATGGTATCTTTGTGTCACATTTTTTATGTATATTAGATATTTACGTATTTTTGCATTCTAAGAAAAAAGCCGGTGAAAATATAGGCAAGATCCAGATACTTGTTCATTTCATTTTTAATGTCATTGTCATTTATTGATATATTAGTGCTGTATTAGCGGTTAAAAAATGTACAGGGTTATTTTTT